ATCATTCAAAGCTCATCATTTTCAGTGTTAAACTGAGTAGCGCTGGGTATGAACATTTTCAAACATTTATCTACAAAACAAAGAGACCATAAACAGCTCCTGTGTACACAAATGTCAACATACACAGAGCTGAGTGCCTGAGACAACATCTTTGCTCTGCCCTACAGCTCTGCCCTGCACCCCTGCTTGCCATGATACAGACCACACCAGTTTGTGTGGACGTTTTTTTGTTTGTTTCCTTGCTTTTAAAATAGAAGTAATATTATTCGCATAACTAAAAGTAAGGCTTCTCCATTGTCAGGTTGTGTCTCACCCCAGTTTAAGTCTCCCATAAGCTACCACTTAATTCAACACTAAAATGCTTTTTGGAAATACAGGAGCCACATGCTGTCCTCACATTTTAAAGACTAAACGCCAGGAAAGGGTAGCAGATACAACCACCATGAAGCAGTTATTACTAATCCACATGAGATGGGCAATTATCCACAATCAGTGCCAGAAAAATTTCTGGCATCACTGCAGACCTGTAGGTCCAAACCAGTGCAACCTCAGCAGCCCACACAGCTAGAGGCTGAATACTGCCCCTTCCCTTACCCCCAGCACTTTGGGCTGGAGATCCCAACACCTAGGTTGGATTTGCAGTACTGAGTAGGGCAAAGCTGCTGCTTCAGACTGTTGCTGACTGTCTCTACCAAGTAAGACGACAGTTAGGATTGGCCATTATTTTTTGACCATGCTGGTTAAAGGCTCACTTTTTTTTTTTTTTTTTTTTAAAGAAGCTCTTCATGAAGTACCTCGACAGCTTGCTTACAGTTACTGTAATACGACACCAGACAATACATTTTAAAAAAAACATTTCAACTGTATTACATCCATGTTCTTTCAAACTAGTTGGTTTGGCAATAAACAAACCTATATGTTCCATGCTACTTTGAAAGTTTACTCAGTGTTTCACATGCCTAAAGTTAAGACACTTCTCCTGTGCCATACTACAGAGACCTTACCACACCCGCTCATGAGAAGGTGCATTTCCTTTCACACTCCCAACACACTATGGCCTGTTTCACATTTCGGTAATTCCTTTGCTTTAAGGGGCAGATAGAGGTAACAAATTCTATACCATTGTTTTTTTGCCTATTTTTTATTTTTATATAAATGACAGAGGGGAGAAACAAAAGTACTATCATGAACACAAGATTCAAACCAAATGAAAGGACAGATTAAAATAACTCACACATTACTTCACATCAATCCTCTATCAGTCATAGCTAATAAGGCTTATGATGCTTAAAGAGTTGCTGTTGGTTAGAGTACTGCATTGTTTTATAGAGGAGCACATGAAAGCCAATTTTAACTAAAGTTTCTTCCTTCCCCAGGTCAAGTTATCCCCTAAAAAAAATTAAATTTATTGAAGTCCTGCAGACAAGACTCTGCACATGAACAATCCTCAGGCCTGCAGAGCACAGAATTGCTGAAACACAGCCAGTATGTGATGGTCCAGTTCAGCTGTAAACAGGAGGTTCTCCAGGGTCACCATGTACTGCTGAATTATCTGGTGATGCTGCAGATAAAAAGATAAACCTTTGTTGTTCTCATTCATCTTCATACAAAAGAAGAGGCAGAAGAGTGAGTGCAAGTATCACAGATCTTGTCACTAGAACTAACAAGCACATCTAATTTCCACAACACATTAGCCACTATCAATCAACTGCAAGAATGAAGTGTGCATTGAAATCCTGTTTTGAGAAGTACTGGATTCCCTGTAGCTACTCAATACTAATCCTGATCCTGAATAGTGTGTAGGCCCCCCATGCACAGAGGCAACTACACAGATATACCAGGAGACTCATGACATTTGCTTTAGCATTAAGTCATTTTTATGATCAGGGAAGAGACTAACCCATAGGGGGAATTACACCATTAAGCCCATGCAGCCTCCCATCCTCTAACACAATTTATGTTCATGTAAACAGGAATAACTTTACATTACTCTGCCTTTGCTTTCAGCCAGTCACTTAACTGGCTTTTTACACCTGTTACCAGATTTAACAGAGCCAAGAGTTCCAAACTATATTTTAAAATAGCTATTCCTTTTAAGCAGATGCATACATTTAAAACATTTTTATCCACTTATTTATTAGGCATCTGTTCTGGTGTACTTGTTTTCTCAAGACTCTACCTTACTGTAAAATATGGTAAGAGAAACTCTGCTACATTTACAATCATGTCTCAATATTTTGTTGCACTATATTCACAGTGTAGGAGCTCACCCTCCAGTCACTTAGCAAGTCTGTAGTAAAAATGGGGTCAAAACCAGAGACAGACACAGCCAAAACTCACACTAGACCCTGGAGAAGACTGGTGATGCCAGCTATGTCTGTTGTAATGGAGCTGATAAGAATAAGTGACCAAGTTCAGCTCTCAAATCATGTAAGCTTTTCTTTCCAGCAGCTGTCCAAAGCCTTCCAAACTAAGAAGTAAAACTTACCTGTAGGAAGATTTGCTGCAACCTCTCTATACAGCTCTTGTACCAAGGCGTAAATACATCAATCCCACCAGTTTCACAGCGCGCTAAGTGCTCAGTTAACAACATAATGAAACGCTGCAGAAGAACACAAATAGAATATTGGTTCAACAAATCTTGTCAGATGAGAACAGGTTACTAACCTCACTTGAGATAATCCATGGGACATTTGACAGACAGAAGCTTTGAACAGCAATATCAGAATGAACACTTCACTTAGTGTCTTCTAAGTGCATTAACTACTTATATTCAAGTTACCTTTCGCTTGTTTAGGAAACCACATGCTATCAAAAACACTCCTCTGCTTAAGCTCTTGATGCTGAACAAATCCTGTTTAGGGGAGTCAGACAATTCTTTGTAGAATCATTCAGATTGATTTTTATCCACAATAAGCCCATCTACCCCTTCCCATGTCCTCACCTCAAGAACACGACCAAGACACAAATGATGCTGCAAAGACATCACGCATAATTACCTGGAATATAACAAGGAAGAGATTCTTCTGTTCACTCTGGGCTGACTCTACTTTCTCCTGCAAGCGTTCTATCTGCTCTTCTAGCGGTCCATCTTCCCTATCACTACTTCGGTCATCATCATCGTCATCACTGTCTCTCTGTAAGCAAAAACAATACACAACTAACTGGAAACATGGCTACCCGTGAATCCTGCTAGTATCCATTGGAACAATAAACAGGTCCCTTGATTGACCAAACACAAAGTCCATAGCACAACTGAAGCTGCTCTGTGGCCTTTCAAATGCTATATGTTGAGGGATGCCTATTTTATAAATACAGTGCAAGAAGGAAATTTGGAAGGAAGGAGAATGAGAGGCTTAAGCTGTATCAACTTGCGACAATGCCAGGATGGGAAAGGCCTGGAAACAAAAAAAAAGACCCAGAAGAACTGTAGCAGGTTTAAAGACTTACAAGATCATTATTTAGTGGAGCCACAACAAGATGATAGGCTTGCTGACTATCATCAGCAGACAACTAGCAGCTCAGTAACACATCTGTGGCAGACCTTTTTTAAAGCTTGTCTAGACACTGTTACAGGAATCTAATTTCACTCAAGAACCTTTCTGAAATCACAGGACCGTCAAAGACAAAGACGTTTTGTGCTAGAACTCAGATGAATCTGGTGGGTTAGCATAGATAGAAGAAAGGAGACTGGAGCCCAGGGTGTTCAAGTGGAAAGACTTTACATATCAGACCTAAGGGCATGCTCTCCAACTAAGAGGGGACAGAAAGGTAGCCAACCTCATAACCATGAAAATACCATGCTAGTTTGCCTTTAAAAAAGGGTACATTGCATCAAATCTGCTATCTAATAACTGGATAAGGAAAGTCCTACAAAAGATTAAATGAGATATAGCAGGAAAGGGAGAGTCTGGTGGATTAATACATATTCAACATATTCAATTACAGATATTGCTTCAGTTTCACAAAATTGTTTCTCTGCAAGAATATCCATAAATTAACAGCTATAAACATCAAATATTTGTAAAAAGAGCATGTAAAACTTATGACAAAAATAAGGCCATGTGCTAACTCACCTACTGCATACAAATCACACTTGTATTTTATATTTTTGAATGCATACTAGTAACTTGAAAGATACTCTGACAGCTGTGAATCACTACAACACTTAAAGGTGAAGGGCTTGTTGGAGCAATTGAGTTTGACATTTTCCTCTCCACAGGATCATCCCCCCCCCCCCCCTTTCCCTAACGAGGTTCAAGGACCAGCAGACACTATGTTAACTCCCCCAAGAGCAGGCAGGTAAGCCTTAGCCTCATCCCACAATATGCCAAGTCCACTTAGCACTGGGACCATCAAAATTTGGCATTTTACATCCTGAACGAGGAGCTGCAATCCAGTAAAGCATCTGCTTCCAGAACTACTCATATTTCACATATTTTGCTTACAGAAGTTACTTCATGGCATAACACTGCCCTTTGAAACACTCGGTACTCAAGAGAGCTGCAGCTAAGAGACAGTACAGAAACAAGAAACAGGCATATCTGTTGAAAGATACCAGAGAAGCTCTGCCTCACAGTTTAAAAAAAAAAAATGAATAGCTCTTTGATACTCACAAACATTTATTAATTGCTGGTTTGCTGCTGCTGGGAATGAACAAGAAAAAGCTGGAAGAGCTGGAATGACCCAACATCAGCAAATTGCAAGTTCCTAGTGACCTCCTAGCTGAGACTCATAGGAAATGACTTGTACTGGTGGCAATTTTTGCAGGATCCTGCATGTGTTCCATGTTATGCCAAATTCTGACATTAACTTAGACCAAAGATTTAGAACTAGCTTAGTGTTTTGTGCAGGTAATTATACTGGAAGACCATATATGAACAAGGAAATACTCTCCTGTCAAGAAACTGGCTTTATTCTATAATCAGGATTAAGTACTACAGCCAGCCAAGCTGTCTTGGGTCCAAAAATGAATTAAACAAGGGACTAATTAGACTGGAGTGGCTGGGGGGGGGAGATTAGAGGTGATTGTGCCATAAAACACTGAGATGGGGAAGGCACAGAAAGCACCTTCTCTTCCAAAGTGCAGTACAGAATCTCAGTAACCCAACTGCTTGTCCAGGAATAATAAGTTTCTACTGTCACTTGGGACTTCAGAGCCCACACAACGTGTCTAAAAACATTTGATAGTCATCTCACTGTATATAGTAGTCCAGGTCATGCAAAGACATTTGAAAATAAAATCCAAGAGAAGCAAGAGGCAGATGCAATTGTCAATATCCAGTAGCATCTGTCAGAAGAACAGTGACAGCTATCTCCACTTAATGAACAGGTGGCTGTTTCCACATGCTTCTCCACACGAGATATGAGGTCCTAAATGTCTACTTACAAGACCGTTCTCTGAAAGGGGCTAACAGAACCTATAGTAAACTTGAGTATGAATTTCTGACCATTCCTATTGCTACCCAATAATGTAACAGGAACCAAGATTAAAAGAAGAGAGTGAAAGACAAGCTCATACTGAAACAGAAACTTACAAAAAAACCCTTGAATGGAGCAAGTGCATATAAACACTTTCAAAGACTTCATTGAATTCTCAGGCTGTAACAGTCTTTAGAAAAGCATACAAAGAATGCGTCAACTTTAGTGTCCTAGTAGTAGAGATGGCAACACACTTGCAGATATGCCTCCTGACTATTTTTAATCAGCCTCACCCAGAACCAACTGTGTGCCAGTTTTAAATTTGACAGCATGTAGGTTACTTAGCTTCAAATATAATAATAAAAAACAACACCACAACACCACTACACCAACACAACAGAAAAAAAACAAATTACTCTTTTATGCTGTCTTGCCAATCTTGCCTTAGTCTCCTCCAGTTCTCTGTGAATCTTCAGTACATGCTTGTTCATTTTACGAATTGTGGAATGTAAGATTTCCCAGACATAGAACCTAGGAAAGATGCAGGACTCAAAACAGTAAATCACACTGTTCCATGACAGAAAAAGCACAGGTCTGCTATATAACTCTCTCAACTCTTCTTATTCAAACCATTAGAAACAGTGCAACTTTCTATTGCTACAGAATAAGTTAAGCTAATAAATAATTATAAAAGTGCACAATACTGATCTGGGGGAAATTTACAACATTTCCTCATTATTACCTAGGACATCTACTGGAATGAGCAAACATTCAATATTAAGAAAGCATAACACTCACTTCTTACTGAATTACCAAACCAGTGATTTATTTCAGAATCATTCTACAACACTACTAGCATCAAATTTATTTGTTTGAGCATTTCTCCCACTTTCAATAAGAAATATATCTGAGGGTAGTGCAAGATACATGCGCTAGGTGCAAGCCAAGACTCCATTAGGCTAGCAGCTATACAACAGGGTTAACAGTTCTTGTCCAGGAATGGTTTGCAAAGTGGTCCTAGAGCGTCTCCTTCCACTTTGGTATACTTACAGGCTACTTACAAGAATCTTGCTAACATAGCTTTTTACATGCCATATAAATTCATACTGCAGCTCAGAGGAAAATACTAAAGTTTGTTTTGGGGAAGCAACACAAGTTTATGTAGAGCTTAATTGTAGTTTTTAATTTTCATTACTTTGCTTTATTAGAAGTTTAAAAAATTGGATTCTAACCATTTAAAATAAAAATGCACAGACAAAAAACAACTGAAGACACAACACTTGTTACCTAGTAAAATCATGTGCAAGTTCTGAAGAGAAGATCCAGTTGGCTACTGCAGCACAATCAACAATCTGTGTTCGAATCATCTTGTCCACAAGCACAGCAATCATCTACATTTTGGAAAAGACAAGATGGTCATTCCTACCGCAACAAGAAATGGTCAAGCTTACCTGCTGTAACACGAAGTCTGTGAAATTACTGTGGGCTAAGATATACAACCCATCACTGGCTGTTAGTCAAGTTTGGCCTGATGCAACTTTGTAGATACATTAGTCAAACTAATGGGCGATTTCAAACGCTTTAGGAATCTAGCACTGCTTAAAGCAGACATCTGATTTGCTTAGCCTAAAACTGCTCAGACTAGGGGAGCTGTATCAATCATGCCAAGTGTGCATTCACATTTTAACAACCCTTCTTTACTCCTCATGAGAGCGATTAGTAACTCTTTATTCAATGAATATTTCTGCTATTCCCAAGAGCAAAAATACAAGAAACAAGTTTTGAGAAGAGACATCAGAGAAGCAAGTCTTAACATTTTACACTGGAGTATTCAATCAGAACATGTCCCCATTACATAACCATAGAATAACAGAAAGTG